TATTCATTCTTTATTAAGCCTTATGTTAATGATGTATTTGGTTTATTATTAATTACATTGTATGTAAAAATTAATTCATTTCACCAGAATCAAAGTTTTCATATAATAGATTCCGCATTAATTACAAATCGAAATTAAAACGACGAAAATAAATTAATAGAAATAATCCCTTTCGATCAAAATGTATCTTAATATTTAATAATATTAAATGCAAATTTTTGGATATATAATATCTCAGTTTTATAAAATGCGCCGCGCATTTTAGATTTATAAGATTTGTCTTGAAATGCAAGCGCAAGCTGAAATTGAAATTAATATCTCAAAATAGATTAATCATCCATTTTAATAACGAAGTTAATAAGCATTTTACAAAACTGAAATATTATATTTGTAAATAGATTTTAACGAGTAGCTACATGAAAATGTATTGATATTCAGTGAAGCAAATATTTGTAGTTAATTACACTCGAATCAATCACAAGATTGACAATCAAACATCAAGTAAATATCATAATAAAAATAATCGAAAATGTGCTTCTTACATCAAAGTTTATCAATTCGGAATATCCACGAAAAAGGGCATTATAAAACCTTGATAATCCGACTTAATATGAATCAACCAAAATCGGATAAAATAGAGATTATATTTTATAAAAACATATTTTAAATAGATATTATTTTAATTTTTAATTAACTCTTTAAATTATATATAATTAATTCTTTCTAAAATCTTAATTAAATGAAACATATGACAATTCTTTCATACATTAGATATGTACGGAAGAATTAGACTGATTGAGAGAGACAAAGAGAATAGAGGGGATGGAAGGGGGGAGAGCGCTCGAGCGAAGGTAACCGAGGGAATCAGATAATACGAAGTCAGTTATTCTAGGTCCCACTGTAATTACCAAAAGAGATCTCCGTAAATCTCGCTCTCTGGAAATTTTCCCTTGGGAAGATTCCGTAAAGTCGCACGCGACGTGGGACGTGGGTCGTCGCGATGTACGCGATGAAATTCTCGAAAAGCAATCGCGACTCGAAGGAAGAAAGCGAGTTCGAAGACACTGGCCGGAGGACGAAGAGTCGGAGCGAGCTGGCGCGAGGCGAGGAGAGAGAACAGCAGTGCGAAAGAAACGGAACACGTAGGCGCGGGGTAGGTAGGTAAGCGCAGCGATAAAGAGGAAGAGGAGAAAGAAAGAAAGAAAGAAAGAGAGAGAGAGAGAGAGAGAGAGAGAGAGAGAGAGAGAGAGTGGGAGGGAGGGGGGACGTTGGAATGGAATGCGCGGCGCCTAGGGCTCGTCGAATTCCAGGGCCACACGTGCCCTTCACTCCCTGCGCGCCCGCGCGCCACAGGCAAGCACCGACCGGAGCCAATAAACTTCGCCTCCAACTGGCAGCCGCGGTCGACCACCATAGAACTCATTCATGGGGACCTCCTACCACGCCGCGCCGCGCGACCAAGCCGACTCTCGTCAATCGCTCTTCGCGGCATAGCATCGACATAATGTGTAAATGCAGATAGTACTGTGGATTATACATCCCCATATCAGATTATCGTCGAGGATTGTCGAAATCAAACGCGAAATTTGCACTTACTTGCTCTGCTCTGCTTATTGACGCTAATAGAGTGCGAAACGAGGAGCGGCGGGGCGGAGAAAGATGGCGACCAGGAAAGTCGTGGAAATCATGCAGGAACTTCTTTTTCCTTTTTCTTTTCTTTATATGGCCCGCTAACCAAGATTCCGATCGAGCATTTTGAAACGCAGACGCCGAACGATAGCGACTTGAAACGAGACAGGCTAAGAAAGTTTATGATTCGTATCGCTAATTTCAGCTTCCTTTCGTAAAGAACATTTGTCTACATTTTTTCGCGCGTTGGGCAACTTGCTGCCATCTGGCTGCGAAATTCTAGACTTATTCTCGAGATGCTAGAAAGTATACTTGCAGCCGATATATTCACAATCGATAATACAGATTTTACAACAATCGAAAAATATCTCTTGAGATTAAGATGATAAAAAAAGATTTCGTCAATTCAAACGACATTTCATAGATATCGGATATCTTGTTTAATACGATAGGTAATTAGATAATTTTATTGATTTTGGTAGATACAAGTTTTATCTTCTTTCTTATTAACGCACGTATTGGTTATATTAGCTTGGGTTATTCACCGATACACAAACCTGTTGCTTATCTCTTACAAGAAAAAAAATCAGGACCGACTCTTATTATGGCATAAAACTACTTTTATTGGTGCCATTTAGATTCGTCTGATATTCCTCTAATAACATCTATACTTTATTATATAAAACTGGTCACTGATTAAAATAAATTCTGGTATTTATATTACATATATTAATACTACAACTTTGTAATCGAATTGCAAGACAAAATGCGATCGTTTTGCTTTTTAAATTTTGAACTTGGCACTCAGAGCAGTACGGTAACCAAAGCTGTTAATTCACCGAAACATTTATTTCGTAAAAAGATATGCAATATATCATATACGTAAAATAAAAACAATGGCAGATATAAAATAAATAAATGAATAACGGAAAATCCCCGAAATTTTAGTCCTACTTTGAATCTCTTTTAACCTCAATTAAACCTTATAAATCTATTTTGATATTTAAACAATCAAATAGGACAATTTCTATTTAGAAAACTTCTTTTGATCCTAAAAGTAGGAAATTTTTACAATAATTGTCATTTACAGACTCAACGTAAAAGTTTAATTTAGAGTTCAATCTATATACGAGATCTGTTCAAAAAGTTCGTGAACTTTATTTTTAAAAAATTGCAAACTTTACTCACAAACTACTAGTCTTTATCTTCTTCAAAATAGTCTCCACCCCAATGAATACCCTTGTCCCAACGATGTTTCCATTGCTAGAAGCAGTCCTGAAAGGACTTTTCTTTGAAGGAATTGCTTTCAGTTCCTTCAGTGAATTTTCTTTTATGGCTTCAATTATTTCAAATCGTTTTCGTTGGATGTTTTGAATTTTGGAAAAAAGAAAAAGTCAGAAGGGGTCAAATCTGGTGAGTAGGACGGGTGGGGAAAGTATTTACTAGATTTTCCTTTTGACCTTTTCCTTTTCCCAAACTCAAAATACCTATGAAAGAAAAACGATTTGAAATCAACAAAAGAAAATTCGCTGAGAGAACTGGAAGCAATTCCAGAAAAGTACTTTCAGGACTTGCTTCCAACAATGGAAACATCATTGGGATATTCGTTGAGGTGGAGATTACTTTGAAAGGGATAAAGACTAGTTAGCTTGTAAGCTTTACTAACTTACTAAGTAAAGCTTACTTTAAAAAAATAAAGTTCACGAACATTTTGAACAGATCTCGTACGTTCTAAAACTAAGGTTCAAAGTAAGAGCAAAATTTCGATTCGGTTAGAATTAAGCTTAGAAACCTAATATAGAAGATTATCTCTTTCGACAAATTGTATATTCATGCGTGTAATATTAATGTAGTAATATGTAGCAATATTTTATAAATTATAAGTTTGTATTGTAAATCGTATGTAAGCCGTACTTAATCGGTAAAACAGCAATTCCGGAGTTTGTCACGTCAGCATCCCCTTAACCCTCTTGACTCGCTTAATAAGTTAAATAGGAGATTGATCGAAACTAGTATGTAATACCAGTACAGTTTTTATTAAACATTGTTAATAGATCGCGTCATCGCATAAACGACGAGCACATTACTTTCTTTTTGAAACTTTTTTTTTTTAATTAACATATACTTTTTTAATTGATAATTAAATTTAATTAATATGAAATCATCTGAAGCAATATAATATTTTTATCAGCATTAAAATATTTTTATGATTTCATATTATATCAATAATTAATTTTTAATAAGAATGTATTGGAATCGATACTAGGATAAAAAAAACCAATATTTGTCAAACGTTTTTTATCAGAGATTTGCACTTAATTTTTAAGGACTTATTCAGGAGCTATTCATTTTAAGGACCTATTCAGATTTTCTATAAATATTAGGTGTACAACTTTGCTTCCGCCGTTTTTGTTCCGAAATTCGAGGCTTTATTGTAAAAAACTGATTATACATTTATGATTCAAAGTATTGTCCATCGCTGGCCACTACTTTTTCCCATCTTTCGGGTAGTGTACGAATCCCGCGTCGAAAAAACTGGTCATCTTTTGAGGCTATCCACGAATCGATCCAATTTTTTACTTCTTCATAAGACTGGAAGTGCTGGTCAGCCAGGCCGTGTGCCATTGATCGAAACAAGTGATAGTCAGAGGGAGCAACGTCTGGAGAATACGGCGGGTGGGGTAGGACTTCCCATTTCAACGTTTCCAAGTATGTCTTGACCACTTTCGCAACATGGGGTCGAGCATTGTCATGCTGCAAAAT